AGACATACAACGAACCTGTAAATTTTAGAAGAGATCACTTCAGAATAAAAAAAAAATACTTCACAATTGATCTCACAGCATTTTTATAGACTTCCTTACATAACAAAGTCAGTATGTTACCTTCAATGTGCCTTTAATATCTCTATAGATTACAAATTAAGATAGCTTTTTTCCCTAAAGTATTACTTACAGTGTATCTAATGTGGGAAAAAGAAAAAGATTTTTGACAAAGCCAAGAATGGTGGAACTCTCTAATAGGAGAACAAAAACAAGAGGCTATGTGAAGTTGGCTTGAAATGAAAGACATTATTCATGGAAAATATTGCGAATTCTTCCAGTAAATCCTTGTCTTTGTCAATATCTTTTATTACCATTGCCAATACTGCTAAAATCATTTGGAGGGAGTAATGAATGGGTTTACAGTAACTAGCTGTTCAAGCCTACATTGTATCATAATTTTTAATAGCGGAAAAATTAAAATTTGAACCTGGTCATTTTCTCTACTCTTCCTCAATGCCACCTCAAGTTTGACCCACTCTTCAGGTAAATCTCTGCCAACAGATGGAAAGAGTTCTCTATCTTCAGCAATACGTATGATCTCATCTTGTAATGCATTTATCCCAGTTAGCTCACTGACATTACTAACAGGTACCATGGCGATGTAACTTTTGTTGCAAACTGGCTCAGTTGGGGGTGGCTCCTGGAGAAAGCACAATCAAATTAAAATATACTGTTCACAAAAATAGTGATCAAAATTAAAACTCCCCAGATCCAAACAAATCTATTTATGCCAGGACCCCAGTAAGTGTATGGCAAAGCACATACACAAATCTAAAACAATATGAATAACCATAAGTATATTAGATATTGAATTAAATCAGGGTGTCATTTGACCAACTGGTAAAGATTTGGAAAATGTCTCAGCTATGTTCCTAATGTAATGTAGTTTAATTGACAGCTGATCTACTGTCCACTCAAATACTCATATCCATGCATGTTGTTTGTGAGAGCATTTTATCTGCAAAGCATCATAAAAAGCATGATGTAGAACAGAAGAAATAATTGGAGGGTTGTCTCTCTTCCACTCTGGGTTTGAGCCTCCCTTCAAAGGATTCTTAAGGCCTTTCTTCTTTTTTTCTGAAATTTCATACTCAATCAGAGCTTTTTGACCTTTGCAGTAATCTTGCACTCCCTCCAAGATGTCTTTACAGCGGCTAATAACAGTGCTGGTATCACTGGGGTCAAACTTATCCAAATGAGTAAGCACAATCATTATCCTTGGCTTCGAGATACGCGATGTGACCAGATCCAGCCAATCACCAACAGTCTTCCGAAAACAGCTTTTAGTTAGTTCATACTTAAAGAGATCCACGACCAAGATATCTAGGGCCTCTAGAACAGTAATGAAGAGAAAAAAACCGCTTTGTTAAATCCGGGCAATAGGAGAATCGCGGAATAGGAAATTTTGTCTTACAGATATGAAAGTCTACAGGACACACTCTACTTAGAATAAAAAAATATAATTTTCTTTCAATGTATCGGACATTTTATTTCAGTATCGTTCATTATGAGCAGATAAAAATTATGAAAATGTCACAAATACTCCCTTTGCTGTTCATTTTCATTTTCATTTCATTTCCCTTCATTTCTTTAAAGTTTTGATTTTTTTTTCGAGGGGAATTTGATGTAAATAAGAGCAGTGAAGGTTCATTGAAATACATGTCGTTGCACAGAGTGAAGAGATACCATGTTTTAAAATTTGTATTAAAATAAAAACTTATTTCGCAGGTTATAAATGGTGTATGATGATTTAGGATTCTAAGAGGACTGGGGTTACAATTCCTCGAAAACTTGCTTGATGTGTTATTGCATGGGAAAAGTTTATTACAATTATAAATTTGTAAGTATACATATTGGCAATACTTTTACTGAGATGACAAAAAGCTACAGCTGCGCGAAAGGAGCTTTCAATAACGATATTTACATTTCAAATGATGTTCAACAGCAAAATCACACACATACGAACTCCTTCAGACATTGTTTACCGATTAATTATTTTCATCTCGCCCACTTAACATTTACTAATCCAGAAAACAATCAAAATTTACTATAAGAATGTCAAATTCGCTAATGTATTTATTGTGATTGTGAAGGTTAGTCAGGGAATAGTTAGGGATGGTGAGGGAGCATGAACCCATCCACTTCAACCTTCACGCATGGAGTGCAGTTAGAGATGAAAGAGGGGATTTTACGATACTTGGCTAGCTGTTGGGAGGATGGTTGAGGAGGGGAGGGGAAGGAGTTTTATTGTAAGCCAAAGGAATGGGACTAAGGAAAGGAAGTGGTGGGGAAGTATTGAATACAGTTATCTTTACCAGACAGATTCTTGAATCTTAATTTGTATCCATTAGCTTGCTTAATCACTTAACCTTAAACAACAGCTCTTGGTTGCTTTGTGGTTTACAACCTAAATTTTGCGATGCTTCATACCTTACTGTATCCAAATAGGTACATTTTCCAAAAAAACAAAAGTGAATGCCGAAAGCACCAAAAAGAAATCCAGCCCTTCACTCGTAAAATCACTTCACTCCTCACAGCCCCTCTCTCATTCAATCCGAACCACATATGGTAGATATGGTTTCTCACGCTGATGCTCGAAATTTTTAATCTAAAACGATAAAATCGTACTGAATATGCGAAACTAAGAACTATTCACAACAGATGTCTTGTTTCCTTTATTTATCAACCATGCATTGTTCCTAGAAATAAACGTAGTGGCTGACGTGAATCAGGAAATAATGGAGTTCTGAAAAATCAGATGGAAGTTCAAGGCATTGATTTGATGTTGAAGTAGAATACATTAGGTGTTTAATATGATAGCAATTAAATTTAACGATGCAATAAATGCTAGGTCTTTTCGTTAAGATTTGTGTACTTTGCATGCTTTCTTAACAGTGTATCAACCTCTAAAAGTTCTAGTAGGTCAACAAGTTTCGGTACAAGCACCTCAACATCAGCGTCCACAAGTGTGTCCACTTCGACCTCAGCAA